ACCTTTGAATGCTTCAGCTGCTCCAGGAGTTTTATTTTTATCAGGATGTAATTGTAAAGCTAATTTTTTATAAGCTTTTTTAATATCATTATCTGTGGCATCTTTCGATACACCTAATACTTCATAATAATCTTTACATTTTTTTATCCTTGAAAAAAAAATTATTTATTTATTTATTAAAAATGACTTGAAAATGGTAAATTAATACCCAGAAATATTAATAATAATAATAAAAAAAAACCTTTCAATAGCATCTACATGTTCTTTTGCATTACTATCGGATGATGATTTATTTCCACTTGTTTTAAAACCATATTCTTCTTTTTTCGGAGCAGATTTTCTTTGTCTTACATGATCCTCATCAGTGTGATTTTTTAAATTTTGTAGCAATTCTTAAAATGATAAATTTTATTATAAATGTAATTTTTTTTTTTTTAACTAACTTAACAAATGTAAAAAAAAGAAAAATAAAAATTTGAGATCTTCGAATAAACATAAACAAGTACTTCAAAATTTCATTTGAATTAATTTCAAGTAAATTTATTTAAAAATAATAATAATAATAGTTTTTAAATTTTTACAAAATTAATTCCTTCGACTAAATGGACTCTTGCTAAAGTCTCTTTCGTTTGTTAATGCCTAAATGCCTTGTAGTAATAAGACGATAAGAGATGCAACATTTTAAATGTAAATTTTTAAGCACAACATGTAAAATATTCTAAAATGCTTTACTTTTTTTGTAATGGTAAATATTAAAATAACTATAATGTTAAATTATTAAAAGGTAAGATGAAAAAAAATTTAAAAAATCACTACAAAGTAAATATAATTAAAATTAATTGACCATTATTGAAATAATAAGGGGGGAAAAAAAAGTTTGAGTAATAAAATGCATGAGTAAAAATATATAGATGTATATTTAAAAAAAAAAAAAGAAAAGTAAATCGTGTCGCAGGATTAAGCAATAATTAATATTTAAAATAATAAAAATAGATTGTCATCTTTTATAAATTACCTTTGGCTTTTGTAGTAGAATGTAATCTTTCTGCTTTTTCCAAAAATTTAATGGCTCTCTCACGATTTCCATCCTTCAAAGCATTTTCAGCTATTTCTATACATTTTTCAGCTTCGTCTTTATGTCCGTACATAATGGCTTTATTTAAAAATATAAATCACTCACCACAGAAATAAAAAAAAAAGTATTTACACAGACATTCTTTGGTTATCAACGCAAAATTTATCTTCTGCTTAAAACGTAAATGAAGGCCAGCCTTGTGAGTAAAAAAAAAAAAAAAAAAAATTCATGTAATTTTAAATAATTTAAATACGTGAAACTAATAAAGTTGTTTTAATGAAATTTTTTCTTTATTTAAAAATTTAAATACATTTTAAATAATAACGTTTCATTCTTCTAAATATTTTCTTTCTCCGAATTAGTTTTTAAAAAAAAAAAAAAAAAAATTTTTTTTTTTTTTTTTTTTTTTTTTTTAATAATTGGTAAGTCACTTAAATTAATGACTTTGAAACATTTTTCCTTTTAGTTATATTTTTTATGTCTCGGTAACTTTTCGTCCATTTCATTATGGCTGCGAAAAACAAAATGGCGATGTTCTAGAAGATAAAAACCGAGTTTAAAGAAAAGTAGTAATTTGTTCTTAATTTTTCTCTCTATTTAATTTATAAATTTTTTTTTTTTTTTTTACTTTTTTTAAAAAAATTTTATTACGGTTTTAGTTTATTATTTTTTTGCGTATATAGTTATTTAAATGGGATCAAATAAATCAGAAGTTATCATCGCCTTGACTTTTGTCGTTGGATTTTTTTTGGGATATAAAGCTAAAGAATGGCGTATTACATGGTTAAAGAGAAAACGAGATCGACTCGCCGACAAACTCAGACATGCTCAAGCCAAGTTGGATACGATAGCAAAAAATTTTTAAAAAAGTGACTGTGTTGGCAATCAAATACTATTTTTTTTTTTAAAAAAATAATACTTAAAGTGGTAGTCTATGTTAGATTTCTTTGTTTGAATTTTTTTTTTTTTTTTTTTTTTTTTTTCCCTACTTTAATATCCCATGCAATTTCTGGAAATGGAAAAAAAACCATTAAAAAAATTGAATACTATCATTAAAAATGACACAAATAACGCAGTGATGCGCTACAACTTTTTAAAAAGAAAAGTAAAAGACATTTTTGAAGATAACAAAAAATTGAAAGTGAGTTATGAACATAATAAAGTGGACATATCCAAAACGAAACACAGTGAGGAAGATCATGATCACACCAAAGATGGCAGAACACACTTACTGCTATTTCCAGATGACATATTACTCATGATTATATCTAATTTAAATCACCACTGTATTATTAATTTAAGCAAAACTTGTAATAGGCTTTACGAAGTATGTCAAGATCATACATTGTGGAGAGAAGTAAATTTTAGCGACAATGTTGTTACTTTAACAGAAATGGGCATCATTTTAAAATACATCACTCCTGAAACGAAATCGATTCATACTAAAGGATATTATAGATCAGGCGAAAGTATCAAAGAAACCTTAACATTAGATTGGCTAACTCAGATATCAGAAAAATGTCCAAACTTGTTAAGTTTGGCTTTGCCTAACCATTACATTGATTGTGAGTGCATAACTATTCAAAATTTTCCAAAGACATTGACAAAATTAGATTTAAGTAATACATATGTCAGAAATGCGCCATGGAACAAATCATATTTTAAAGATGTCTCTTTAATCATGCCTGAATTAGAAATATTAATTTTGTCTAATTGCGACTGGTTTGAACCACACAGTCTAATGGCTTTGAGCAAATGTCCAAAATTAAAAGAATTAAGATTGGATGGATGCGTTAAAATTAAAGATTGTGTCGCTTATTGTGGCCTTGCAACTCGTTCTGGATTTAAAGCTCTTAAGACATTGGATCTCAGAAAGTGCCCAATAGGTTCATCGGAGCTTACTTGTTTCGCTTCTGTGTCCTCTATTGTAAATTTGTATTTAGAAAGTCCAAACACACTTGGAATATCTCCGGGTATAGCCATAGACACTCCTATCATGATACTTTTCACAAATGAACCCGTCGTGGAAATAAGAGCTGATGGTCATAGAGGAAAAGTCACTTGTCCTAGACTGAAAATAGAAAAATTATTTGTGAGAAATTATAAAAGAATGACTGACATGAGTTTGCATCAGCTGGCAAGGGATGCCATTTTTTTAAAGTATCTTGATGTTAGTGGCTCTGGAGTATCAGCTATCGGTATTGAAAAATTTAGAACTCTGCGTCCAAATGTAACTTTGGTTAACAATAGTCTGTGATTTTATTAAATATCTCGTGTTTAAATGAATATATATATATATACATATATATTTGTGTGTTTGTGTGTGTGTAAGAATCTGTGTGATATGTGTAAATGTGTTGTGAGTGAATGTAAAAGTATATATAGTCTCTGTGAAACATCATTAATTAGTTTTTTTAAGGAAGTGGGCCGAAAAAAAAAAAAAAAATTATTATTTAACAATTTCGATGTTGTCACCACTTCAATTTGAATTACCAGGTAGTTTTTTTTTTTTTTTATATTGAAGTATAAAAAGGTATGGGGAAGGTAAATAGCTATTGATAATTGCCATTTGTCAAAATAATCTAGTTTAATTCGATTAGTCTAATATTATATTATAAAATATTATAAAAATATCATTTCAAATGTAAAATTTTGAAATTCTTTTGAATGAAATCTCATGAAAATTTTCTTTTTCGATATCTTTTTTTGTTTTGTTTAATAACCTGTCTGATAAGAATATCATTTTTGAAAAAGAATAATAACCTTTACAATTGTAATAATAATAATAATAATATCTTTTTTTAAAAAAACAAAAATTATAATTGTATTATGTAATAAAAAAGCTGAAAGCTTTGATGAAACAAGTGCCATGATGTTGCAATATAACCTTAAAAATTCAAATTGATAAACGTTGAAATATTATCATTATTTTTTTTTTTTGTAGGAAAATAGTTAAGTAAGGAAAATATTTTGGAAAAAGGAAATTAATTAATTTATCAATATCGCAATATATATTATACTTAATTTTTTAGTATAAATTTATTATATGAAAAACGTAATTGAAATCTTCACACAATATTTTTATCATTTACGGTGACAGTTCGCTATTAACTTAGAAATTTATGGTTAAATAATATATTATTATACGAATAATAATAATAATAATAATAATAATAATGATTTATTTTTACTGTTTATTTAACCCCATGCCATAGAAATTGGAAAAAAGGAAAAGAAATTATGATGAAAGAAAAATTTTTTTTTAAATTTTCTATTTAAAAATAATAATCAGACATATTATCATTATTATTATTATTATTTTCATATTTTAAAACGTGTAATATATATATATATATAATTTCAGGATTGTATGTATACAGTAATGAATGAAAAACATTTTTGAGAGAGAGAAAAATAATTTTTGTTGGTTTTTTTTTTTTTTTTTTATGTTTATAAAATCCACCTATTAATAAAGTATTCAGAATTTTTTTTTTTTTTTTAAATGATGTTGTATTCTTTATCATTATCATTATTATTAATATTATTTTTTATTTATTTATTATTATAGTGATTACCATTTGAAAAAATAAAAAAATGGATTATTTAAATTTACAGTGAAAAACCTGAAAAAAAAAAAAAAAAAAAAAAAACTTGTTGTATTTCTAGTTATTACACACTTTTATTTATTTACGTAATAGTGTTATATTATTAACCGTGTTATTATTTTATTATTTATTTTATTTTGTATAAAATTTTTTATCAAGTTTTCTATTATTTGGCGAAATTGTTTTTTTTTTTTTTTTAAATATTGCTTTTGAAGTGTTAATTTGAATTTGTAAGTTCAAAACAATTGTAAGGTTTTCTTTTTTACAGTATAATTTCCTTCTTGTGAATGTTTTTCATATTTAAAACAGTTTTTTTTAGTTAAATTTTATTAGTATTTCTTTTAATGGAGTTATTTAGGACTAAAAAAAGTAAAAACATTCTGACTAAAGTAACTAAACTGTAAGGATAGTTAAAAATGGCCATGAATATATATATATATATATATATATATATATATATATATATATATCCATGTATTACAAAATTTCAAACTTTATACCATTTTTCATTAGTATCATCAAGTTTTTAAAAAAATATTCACATTTCTTAAAATTTTAAAACTTTTGTTTATCAAAGAAAACTGGCATTAGTTGCTCATTATCAGAATACAACATCTTTTAATATATCAAATCAATAAGACTAACCTTAGGTACATAAAAAAATAAAATGGTCTTCATCCCCAAACAATTTTTCCATCAAACAAAATATTTTTTTTTTTTTTTACACGAACATAATCAAACGCGATTAAAAGGATTGTTAAATAAATAAATAAATAAAGTTTATTAATAAATAATAATAATAATTACCTCATATTTTTTTTCATTTCATAACCAATGATCATTTTAACAAAACCGCCATCGGAGTAAATTTCCGTTAATTTTTTGAAAATAATAATAATAATGATAGAGAGTAATTATTATTATTATTATTTTTATTAGGTAAATTTTTAATAAAATATTTAAAAATTCAGGTATTTAATATCATATTAATAAATATTTATTGAAAATAATGTTTATTATGTAAAAATAAAACCATAGAACGATTTTTCAATGTTATTATTAGTATTGTTAAGCGTAAAAGATTTATTAATACGATCGAGGTCATAGAGTAAATAAACAATTTCACAAAAATCGAGATCAGTATTCCCAACCACGTCAGTGAAATATGTACGTCTGCTGTTATTAATTTGAAAGGGTTAAAAAAAAAAAAAATTTGTTAAATTTTTAATAAGTTTTCGTTTCGGATAATTCCAAAAAAAAAATAATTTCATTTAATTAGAAATTTGTTTTTTTTTTTTATATATTTTTTTTAAACCCATAAATGTTATTATTGACAAAATGTATAAAATATTTTGAATTTTAACCGGTGAGTATACGTTATAAATCATAAGAGGAAGGAAAAAAAGCACACATGAGAAAAAGTCGTTACTCGACTGAATGGTTTTTTTTACACGGTTTTTTATTCAATGTTAATTTTTTTTTTTTTTTAGGTAATTATAAACGAGAATGATTATTCAAAAATTAGCGGCGTCACAGTGCGGATTCCGTGCTTTGATGTCTTTACAATTAAAAAAACAAATAATGAATTTTACAAGTTCTGCCGTTAGATATTCAGAACAACACGACGATGTGAGTATATATTATTCCAATTATTATTATTTTTTTTTTTTTTAAATAAATAAATAAAAAACTATGATCGTTAAATTATTTATTATTTTTTTTTATAGAAAGAAGTTATTATTGAAAGTTTATCAGGTGGAAAGGGTTCATTTACATTAAACAGGCCAAAACAATTAAATACATTAAATTTATGTATGGTATGTCAAATAAGACCCACTCTTATTAGTTGGAGCCAAGACAAATATTTAATTTTAATGAAAGGAGCCGGTGAAAAAGCATTTTGTGCCGGTGGTGATGTTGTTTCCGTCGTCAAAGATAAAACTGGAGAAACTGGGAAAAAATTTTTCAGAGAAGAATACAAAATGGATGCTTTGATCTCCTGTCTAAAGGCACGTCATTGTTAAATTAAAAAAAAAATTCGGTAAAAATGCCTTTTATTGATTAAAATAATAATAATAATTTTTTTTTTTTTTTTAGATTCCTTATGTTGCTATAATAAATGGAATAACAATGGGAGGGGGAGTAGGTATTTCAATTTTTGGTAAATATCGAATCGCTACAGAAACATCACTTTTTGCTATGCCTGAAACTCAAATAGGATTTTTCCCTGATGTTGGAGTGTCCTACGTATTAGCCCGTATGCCTAATCAATTGGGTCCTTTTCTGGGACTCACGGGTTACAGGCTGAAGGGCTACGATTTGATTCACGCCGGAGTTGCAACGCATTTTTGTTCGACGAAAAATCTTTGCGAGCTTGAAAAAGCTCTCCTTTGTGACTTTTCCAGAGATTGTTGCAGTTGCCCAGAAGAGATCATCAAAGAATTTCAGGAAAAATCACTCAAAGGTATTCGAATACCTGAACTTAAAGCATTGAATATCGTTTTTAAACGAATATTTTATTTTTTAATTTTTAGATATCGGCCAAAGCCCGCCAAAATTTTCATTGGAACCACATTTAAAAACAATCGAAACGTGGTTTTGCGATGATACTTTCGAAAGTGTTTACAGCAAAATATCCAAGGATTCTTCTAAATTTGGAACGGACACCAAAGAATTATTATCATCAATGTCTCCCCTATCATTAAAAGTAACATATAAACAAATAAAAGATGCTGCAAATTTAGATAAGTTTGATTGTTTCAATGTCGATTATAGAATAGCTTGCAGAATGTTGGAATGTGGAGATTTTGCAGAAGGTAGATTATAAGATTTTAAAACTTATTAAATTTTATTTTAATATATGTTATTTAACGATAATTATAATAATCAGGTGTGAGAGCTTTGCTTATCGACAAAGATAAAAAACCAAAATGGAAGCATTCTGACGTATCGAAAGTAACCGATGAAGAAGTTTCAAACTTTTTTAATCCCTTGCCTGAAGAAGAAGAACTTCGTCTCCCCGATACAATTTATGATCCCTAAGAACCTTAAAAATTTTTAATATATAATTTAGACAGTTTTTTTTTTTGTAATTTAGTTAAACATTCCCATTTATATTTTTTTATATAAAATAAATATCACATATATATATTTTTAAATTTTTTTAAGTTTTACCATTTCTACTACCATTATTACTTAATTATTATGATTGATCATAATAATTATTACAAATCAAAACGTAATTTACTCACTTTTCAATAAATAAAAAGAAAAAGTTTTTTAAAAAAAATTTATTTTATTTAATTTTCCCAAAATTGGCACAAACGATAAAAATTTAGTACCGTAAATTTCCGATAGATGTCGCGTAAAGCGGGGGGAAAAAATTCTTTTTTTTTCTGTCGACCTCATAAATAAAAAAAAGTTTAAACCGTTAAAATTTTTAAACGTTTTCACAAATATTATTTTAATTAAAAAAAAAAAAAAAGTTATGTAGTTTTTTCTAATTAAAATTCACGTGCTAAATTGTTTTTTTTTTTATTATTATTATTTTTAACGTTAAAAAAATTACAATTTTTAAGAACGCGAATTAAAAAAGTTTCGAATTGTTATTGCAATTAAAAAAAAGAAAAACTTTTAGCAGAAATTCTTATTAATTCTTTTTAACACTTTTAAAAATTCGTTTTTTATCCTTGCTATAGAAAAAAAAGTTAAATGTTTTTAATTAAGCAAAAAAAAAAAATTTACCATAAAATTCTTCTTACCCTGTATTACTTGTATATTAAAATTTTTTCAAAATGGCGGGCAACGTTGTTGTGTATATCCAATAGAAAAAAAATATAAAATTTATAATTATTCCAAAATGACGATTTCCTTTTCGATTTAAAAATAAAAAATAATAATAATTAAACGTAAACGCGGAAAACATTTTTTTTTTCAAACGAACGTAAATTTAAAACCGTTAAAAAAAAAAGAAAAAAAACGTGCGTGTAATCATATTTCACTAATCCCTATTACACAATTAATTCCCGCTTTTTAATTTGCATACAATTAACGGTTTTGCTACGGTTAATAAAAAATAACAATAAAACATTTTCAACGAATAAAATTTTCGTTTACTGCAAAAAAACATTACAATTTATTAAAATATACTACAAATCAAAAGAAAAATATAGAGAAAGTAAATAATAATAAAAAAAAAAACGTTTTTTTAAAAAAAAAAAAAAGGAGAAATTATTTTCTTGTTCTAAGCTCTGAATAAGCGCAAACGACAGAGATTCATTTTAATTTTAGTCGCAGTCGAAACTTTACATCGACGTGACACTTGTTTAATTTTATATAATCATGTTTTTTTTTCTTTTTTTTATTATAAAATGATTTCGTAAACATAATAATAATAACTAACGTATTTTTTTTTTTTTTTTTTTTTTAATATTTATTTATTTTTGTCATCGTCATCGTCATTTTTTAAAATTTTATTTTAAATAAAATAATGGAATCATGGAACAATTATCAAAAAGTGAAACGATACGATTAAGAAAAATTCACATCGGGTATGTATTAATAATAATAATAATAATATTAATAAAGTTTAAATATTATCTCGCGATAAACGAGTTTCGGTGGAAAATAACTTTTATAAAAAAAAAAAAATTTTATCTTTTGTTTTTTTTCGCAATGGCTGACACATATAATTATTATTATTATCTTTTAAAACAACAAGTCAGCAAATTATTCAAATTGCATTTTTGTGATATTTTTAGTTTGCCAGTAGTTTTTTACATTTTTTCTTTTTTTTTTGTATTATTATCATTATTATTATTATTTTTTACAGTGAATCTTGCCAACTTTTTTATTCATCTGATCCATTGAAGATAGTTAGAGCACGGGGTCAGTATATGTTTGATGAAAATGGCGACAAATATTTGGATTGTATCAATAACGTTGCACATGGTAATTAATTAATTAATTAATTAATTAATTTTAATAAATTTATCGACGTAAATACTTTGCGTACAGGTAATTCAATTAATCTCACATCCCCCCACATAATTTATTGTTTTAATCATATGATTGATGATGATAATAAGAATGTATTTTAACGATTGACCGTTAAGCTTCAAACAAACATGTTACATTTTTTTTTTTTTTTTGAAGGTAATTGAAAAAAAGTTTTTTTTAATTAAAACGATACGCTACCGATTACCTTATCAATGTTTTAGGGGTCATTGAACAGAGTTTTATAATCAATGTGGACTTTAATTGTGAAAAAAAAAAAAAAAAAATTTTTTTATTGTTTTTTTTTTTTTTTTTCATTATAACTAACCATAATGGCTCCCTAACGTTTAATTTTTTTTTTTTGCAGTTGGTCATTGTCACCCAGAAGTTGTGAAAGAAACATGCGACCAAATATCAATATTAAATACGAATAGTCGTTTTCTTCACGATAACCTTGTTTTATGTGCACAAAAATTAACATCACTTTTCCCTAGTCCTCTTTCTGTTTGTTTTTTCGTTAATTCCGGATCCGAGGCAAACGATTTGGCCATTAGACTTGCCAGAACTTACTCTAATAATTATGACGTCATCACATTAGATCAGTTAGTGAAACCTTTAACCTTTTTTAAATGAGGGAAATGAATAGAATGTGTAACTCATTAACCAACAACAATTTTTTCAGCGCTTACCATGGTCATTTAACGACTTTAATTGATATATCGCCTTATAAATTCAGAAAAATGGATGTTCCCATAAAAGATTGGGTTCACGTGGTAACAAATAATATGTTTAATTTAATTATGATAATAAAAAAAAATTTCCACCGTGTAAATGATAATATGTGAATGGTATCTCGCTTTCAGGCACCCTGTCCGGACACATATAGGGGTAAATATAGGACGGTTGATTATCCTGGAATCGATCTTGGGGAAAAATATGCCAATGATATAAGAGAAATTTGTTTAAAGGCTCGTTCTAATGGACGTTCTATATGTGCCTTCATAGGAGAAAGTTTACAAAGTTGCGGTGGTCAAATAATTCCTCCTAAAAATTATTTAAGAAATGTTTATAAGTAATTATAACGAATGTTAAATTTGTTAGCATCATCCTTAGTCGATGATTATGAAATTGAAAAATTTTCCTTTTTCTTTTTTTTTTTAGACATGTTAAAGAAGCGGGAGGAGTTTGTATAGCTGATGAAGTTCAAGTTGGATTCGGTCGCGTTGGTAGTCATTGGTGGGGTTTTCAACTTCAGGGAGATGATGTTATACCAGATATTGTAACACTTGGAAAACCAATGGGAAATGGTCATCCTGTGGCAGCTGTCGTAACGACACAAGAAATAGCAAATAGTTTTAAAATAAATGGAGTTGAATATTTTAACACAGTAATACGACAAATGTTTCTAATATTAACACCCTCTCGCATTCGGTATTAAAAATACGCATTTGTTTTTCAGTATGGCGGTAATCCCGTTTCTTGTGCTGTCGCACTAGCAGTTATGAACGTTATAGAAAAAGAAAATTTAAGAGAAAATGCAACACAAGTCGGTGATTATTTATTAAAAACAACCGAAAAACTTATGGAAAAGCATCAAGTTATCGGTAAAAAAAAAAAAAAAACCAAAAGGAATTAAAATAAAAAAAAAAAAGAAAATTCGACAAGATATCTTACTCCATTCTTTTCTTCCTCCAGGTGACGTAAGAGGTGTAGGTTTATTTTTAGGTATTGAATTAGTAAGAGATCGTAAAACAAAAGAACCTGCAACGGAACTTGCCAAATTTATATTACAGCGGATGAAAGACAATAAAATCCTCGTAAGCATCGATGGACCGCATTCGAACGTTATTAAATTAAAACCTCCGATGATATTTTCCAAAGAAAATTCGGAGCTTTTCATCGAAACCCTTGACGATATATTAACAAATGTTAAAAGTTAAAAAACATTGCAAGGAAAATTTTTTAAGAAACTTTTTCGCAACAACACGACATTTTTAAATTCGCGCCGTAAAAAAAATAAAAAACAATTCGAATTAATACAATTTTTAAAATTTTCATTTTATTATTATTATTATTATTATTATTATCGTCAATCAATCAAACAATTACAATTCATTCATTCATTCATACATTACAATTAATTATTAGTAATTATAATATTATAATGAAAATAATAGTAATATTAAAATTATACAAATTAATAATTTATTTTCTCATCGTTCACATTATTATTAATATTAATATATATATTTATTTATTTATTTTTAAAAATAATTATGCTTAATTAATAATAATAATAATATTATTTTAAATGTTCGTTTACGTACGTAAAAATGAAAAGTAAATGAATGTTATTTTTTATATAATTATTTTGTTTTTTTTTTTTTTTGGCTATTTTATAAAATAATTAACAGAGCGATTACTAAAATAATTCTGTTAATTTTAAATAATAATAATGATAATAATAACGATTATTATTATTATTATTATTACCATCATTTGATTTCAGTCTTTTAGCCAAAAAAAACAAAAACAAAATAAATATGCTAATACGTTCGTTTTTTTTTCTTCTTAAAAAGTAAATTTGTGGCTGTAGGTTGTTAATCGGGGAGGAGGGGGAGGGGAAAGGGGGAAGAGAAAGGAGGGAAAAGGGGAGGGACGAAAACAAATCAATTATGTATCGATCGGATATTTTGACGGTTTTTTAAAAAAATTTTTCCAATAAGGAGGAAATGAAACAAAAAAAAAAGAAAAATTAAAATTTTGATTTCGTATAAGATTAATAATAATAATAATAATAATAATAATTAAATCCCACAGCCTTAATGTAAAACAAATAAAACAAAATTATTATTATTATTTTTTACTTCAAATAATTTCATTTGAAAATTTTTTTATAAATTGGAAAATTTGTTCAAAAATCAAAAAAAATTTTATTTATTTATAACAATGAACTTAAACAAACACAAAAATGTTGTTATTTTATGTTTTAATGGCGTTTTTGACACAAAACCACCAAAATGTTTTTTTTTTAATTTATTACTGTACAATCATAGAATAAAACATGGACCCTTCACTACAACTAGCCAAACTAAAATTAAAATTAGTCCAGGTTTTATTCGGAGGAAAAGAGAGAGAAAAAGAAAGGAAGAGAGAGAGAGAGAGAGAGAGAGAGAGAGAGAGAGAGAGAGAGAGAGAGAGAGAGAGAGATAGAACTCTTAACCCATCCTTTTTTGTCTTTCAAAAAGTAATTAAAAGTAGATCATTTTTCCGATACCTTCTGGAAAAAAGGTATAAGGCAGCAATTGAAAATTTACTAAGAAGGTAATTCCCTTTTTTTTTCCGTACACGTGTGCGGTCGCGCACGTGCGTTTTACATAATCTCAAATTAACCAAATAAATAACCAAAACCTGATCCTAACGCAATAATATTAATATTAATAATAATAATAATAATTTTTTTTTTTTTTTTTGAAAAATATATAATTAATCTACTCGAATAATAAACGATACAATATTATCATTATCATTATCATTAATTATTTAATTAATTAATTTTTGTAAATTTTAATCTAAAAATACGTTTTAAAAAAATTTTTTTAATAATCAAATCAAATAATAATAATAATAATAATCATAATTGTGTTTGTTTTTTTTTTTTTTTTACTTTTTTTAAAAATTATTAATTATTATTATTATTATTATCATTAATACGATTTTTTGTTTAAATGATTAATCCTTGTTAATAATAATAATAATAATAATAATAATAATTAATTGATTGATTAATTGAATATTGCTTAAAATTTTATTATTATTATTATTATTATTATTATTTTTTAACATTTACAATTAACATTCAAAATTTTTTTTTTTTGATTATCATCATTATCGAAGGGAAAGAGAGAGAGAGAGAGAAAGAGAAAGAAAGAGACAGAGAGAGGGAAAGAAAGAAAGAGAGAGGGAAAGAGAGGGAAAGAGAAAGGAAAAGAGAGAGAAAGAGAGGGAAAGGAAGAAAGAGAGAGGGAAAGAAAGAAAGAAAAAAAGAGAGAGAGAAAGAAAGAAAGAGAGAGAGAAAGAGAGAGGGAAAAGAGTTTTTTTTAAAAAAAAAAAGGAGGAAAGACAAAAAGAAAAATTATTATTATTATTATTTTTTTTCCACGTGTTTTGTTTGTTCTTTTGTGACTCCTCGCAAAAAAGAAAATTTTTTTTTTTCCTTACACGTAAATCTAATTTAAAATATTTATATACATACATTTTTCACGCGCACGCACCCACCCCACAAAATATATATATTGTGTGTGTTGCAAACTTGATATTATCTAATTCTATGCTCACGCGTGAAAATTTATAAGATGCTTACGTAATATATAATATTATTATTAATATTATTAATATTAAAACGTATAAGAATACTGTAAACGTATAAAATACTTTACTTTTCTTCATCTAAGGCTACACTTACTTATTCATATATATATAATTTTTAATTCTACTTTTAATTATTAAATATTAATTAATAATATTAATATTATTAATGATAATAATAATAATAATACAAATACATACGACATTCACATTAAGATTTATAGTTTTTTTTCCGTTTTCTTTTTCTTTCAGTCAAAAATTTACAATGTTATCAATAAATGATTGGAAAAAAAACAAAATTACTCTCACAAAAAGAATAATGATAAAAAATATAGATATATATATATAAAAAAGCAAACTTTTAATAATAATAATAATAATAATAATAATAATAATAATAATAAAACACACGTGCAAAAAAAAAAAATCAATTCAAAACATGGAGAAATATAGTGTGTAAGGCGCGTCATCAAACAACACGAAATCATTTAAATTAATCGTCGTAGTAATTTATCACCTACAGCCTAACTTTTAAATAAATACTAAGTTTATATTAAAACGCACGCACGCACGCACCCACCCACTCACTCGCACACGTGCACGCACGTACATTTTCTTCTGTACACGTATTTACATGCGAATGAGAATATAATGACGACGTATATTCGCCATTCATTCGCCATTTTTTTTTTTTCTATTTATTTCTAAGCTAATTTTAATAATTATCGTTTGATATTAAAAATTTTTAGTTTTTACATTTATATATATTTATATTTATAATAAATAATGTTCGAAAAATTATAAAAAGAAGAAAATCTATCAAATCTTTCTGTTGTTGTTGTTAAAAAAAAAAAATGTCTTCTTATTTTTCTTTTCGTTCAAATTGTCAATAATCATGGTTCTTATTTTTCTTCACAGTCTAATATCAACTAATTAAATCGAATATTATTGATTTACAAATTACTCGTCGTACAAACAACAGACGTACATTTAATAATAATAATAATAATAATAATAATACATATACATTGTTTTTAATGTAAAATCTTTTGTTATAAATAAATAATATTATTATTATTAATGAGATTTATTTCATAAACTCGTCCTTTTATTGTGTGGTGTTTGATCTTTTGAAATTTTTCTATTTTTACACCGAAAGATCCGTTTCGGAGGGCTCTCTGTGACAAAGACTAGATGATGATGATGATGAATGTACCATTCCTACGTCACGTCTTTGTCATTTATTGTTTGCTTGTAAAGCAGCATTGATTTGTGCCCAGAGTTCTTTTTTACACGATTTTGATCTAAAAATAAATTAAAAATTGTTTGTTTTGTTTGTTTGTTTGTTTTTTGTCTCTTTTAATGTTTTAATAGTGTTATACTCACCGTTTTATAGACTGTAACCATTCTTTGAATTGTTGAGATCCTTCGGGTGTTATTAAAAAAGCAGCCCTTGCCGCACAAACGGCATTTACAAAATCATCGTACTCTCCGTTGGTAAGATGATAGAGTTTGTGATGCATGCACTGAATGTACCTAAAACGTTTCGAATGCAAAAAGGTTAATTTTTATAACAAAATGGAGAAAAATGAAAAACTTTTTTTTTTATTCGCACTTACATTTGTTGACATTTTTGAACGAGTAACGTGAGCGAAGACCGTAAATGTTGAAGAATGAGAGACGGATTATTCCTTGCTAAATAATGAGCTGCTTCTATGGCGACTTCGTGTAATATAAACGGACTAACTATGGAATTGACTACGTAAACGCAAAATTTGTGAAGATATTGTGTACCTATAGGTGAAAATACTTCACTTCGTTAGAGCATATATATATCACTTTAGCATTTCCTTCTCTTTGTTGCGTTTTGCGAATAACCTTACCGAGTTTTTTAGAGATTTGTAATAACCATTTAACATCATCTCCGTACGGTGGTTGCCTGGCATATTTCGCTTGAGGCCGATCGTCGTGAACGCGTCTCGCAAGAGTTTCCAGTGCCAACATTCCCACTCTGTAAGCAGCAAAGAGACAGCGGAATTGCGCTGATGAATACTGATTTTGTCCTTGGCGATGAACCTATTCAATTAAAATTATTTCCTTTGTGAGATTTTGTACACGATGATAAAGAAAAAAAAAAAAAGAAAATTATTAAAACGAAATATACGAAAAAATTGAGTACCTGCGGCTGAGGCAAAGTTCTATCAGGCACGATGGGAGGAAGAGATTGATTTGCAGAAACAGGCACTGCGACTGGACCAGACGGCTGCAAACCAACATTTGCCGTTGACGTCACGCTGACATTTTGAGGCTGAACGACTTGAATTTGATTTTGATTAGGTACAACCTGATAAAAATTAAAAAAATACTAAGGAGTTTTTAGAATGAAAAGGGTGTACCCCCAAATTCACCTTACCAATACATTCTCTTCCTACTATCCTTCCAATTATAATTCCCCGCCTTCTTTTTCCATTTGAGCAAATTTTTTAATGAGTCAGTAAAAAAAAATATAAAAGGAGGGACACCCGATACCGAAATTAGGGTAGTAACCAATCCCAGAGAAGGTACCGAAAAAATGTAAAATCCTCATTTTAACATTTTTAAACACTTACTTGCTGCATAGTTGTTATTGGATAAGCAATGGGCCTCAAAGGCGTTTGAGAACTCCCCTGAACGAAATACTGTTGTGGCAATGGTCCGGGTGGAGTGTTTGGATATTGATATTGAGGAGGAGATAGATATAAGCTAAGGTGGGAAGGTGGAGGTATTGGGTGTAAAGGATGAACAGTGAAACTATATGGTGCGACAGCATACGGTACAGGAAGTAATGGAGGTGGAGCTGTAGCCATAACCACGCTACCTTGAGGAGGTTGTGGCATCATCGTCATATTCGAATTTACTGTTGAAGGAAGCTGAGAAGGCAAGGTAGGATTTTGTTGAAGTTCCTGCGGTTCAACCAAAGCCACGACAGAGCCATTAGGATCCAATGAAAAGTGAAGAGACATTGGGTCGTAAAAAACTTCCACATCCACTGATTGCTCTCCTTTTGGTGTATGCTGCAAAAATATAAAATGATCAAATTAAAAATTTTTTTACAATTTTTTTAAATTCCCTCTTGAGACAATTGTACCTGATTACGTACCCTCAAATACAAGTCGTACCAATATTTTGCAACTTGAAATAATACTTCTGGATAAACTCCACCACCTTTTGCTGCATTTTCTACCGTGAGACACGATCTTTCTAACATTACCTCACTTTGTTCTTTGCATTGAACGATAGCTCTGTGAATTTCATTAGGATTCAGGGCGTGAGCATGAGGCAAACAGGACAAGGCCAGTTCAGCAGCAGCTCTGACTGTGTTTATATCTCGAGCTAAAAAATAACGGAAATAAATAAGTCCGAATTGTTTCTTTTTTTTTTTTGGGTTAAAACATTATTTACAAATAAATACCTCTGCTGGCTCTATCAGCAATGCTTGCTGCTTCGGGTGGCGTTAAGTGTCCTTCCCAAGTATCAATCAAAAAGGAAATGGCAAGCGCACCGATATCCATGGCTTGACCTGTGATCCAACCGACGTGGGAAGAATAAGTTCTGGATAGCCAATTAGGAGAAACACAATTATGTAGGCCCAGGGCATATAATCCGATTTGAAATGCACAAAAATGAAGAGCACGATGAGGACCGTGATGTTGTTGAGATGTTGAAGCCTATAAAACAAATCATAGTTGCATTGGAACTAAAAATGATTGTTTATATGTTACATTACACTACCTAACACTTACCTGAGTAAAAAGAGAAGTACTGGAGTTTCCTCCAGCTTTATTTAAAACTGTTTTCGCTAATTCGAACATAAAATGTGCTCCTGCCTCTGAAGGTTGATTAGGAATTGATGGATACATGCGTTTACCTTTGTATCTGGGAGTATCTTTACCGCGAGGAATTGGAGCCGGTGGAGTCGACGTTAAACTTATCGAAGCTATTCCCTGTTCAAGTTCCGCACTAGTGCTGGAATGTGGCCTACTTCCAACTTTAACGAAACGAATATAATTTTTTTTTTTTTTTTTTTTTTTTTATAAAAGAATTACAAAACTTAAAAATCATAATTAAGGTGTAAAAAAAAAAAAAAAAAAAAAAAAAAAATTTTTAACTAACGTGGATAGGTTAAATCTTGTGTAACGGGTTCGTAACCAGACAAAAATGCAGCCGCCAAATTTTCTGAATCTTCTCCACCACCATGATCAATACCAAGTCTTTTAGAATGAATTTTAGGATGTGTTGAAGTCGAATAATACCAACCGCATAAAGGAGTTTTTATCAAGTTGTGAACTTCTCGATCCAAAAGTTTTTCCATGATCCTAGTTAATTTACTCGGTTCGTCTTTGTAATGCATTAACAAAGTCAAAACCAAATCTCCTCTTTGCCTTCGAGTACCCTCACATAACAATGGATGATCAGCTTCTGACACGTTTGCCTTTAAGCCCAAAGCAGCAACGGCTGCCTCAAATGCTAAAGCTTCATCCGCTGGATTTTTGTTTTCCAATTTGTTTTCTCGAAGAGATGGGTTACCCTCGAGGGCATCAAATATGAAACTTGCTAACATTATAGGCAATAGAGCTTCTCCTCTGGAACTCAAAGTTCCGTCACGAAGTTGTTCTGCTTTTTCTTTTAATATTTTCAATTCTTGCGGACCCAGTGGAATTCTTTTTAAAAGATTTACAATGTCGGCTTCTTGGTTCGCGAGTTTTACCTAAAATTATAAAAAATAATCTTATATTAACTTTACTAATTTCAAAACGAAAAAGATTTCAAAATTATATTATTGTGAATTAATAAAATTTACCTCGAGAGGCTTTGTACTTGCTGGAGGTCTCGCCATTTCCAAACCGAACATTCCAACTCTAAACGCAAGATGATAATGATCGGGAACTTCTGCCAAAACGGAACATAAAAAAGCACATTTTGCCAAGGTGGCAGAAGCTAGGCAACTGATTTGGTGAGATGCCGGATTAACCTAATCCAAATAAATAAATAATTTTTAAATTGTAACGATAAATTCTCGTTAATCTGATACTATTACTATTAATCGTAGTTACCTTTCGACGTTTTCCTTTTGCAGGTATTAATGGCAGTTCAATAAGTAAGTTTGGTGGATTTGCCAATAATTCGTGAGCCAGTCGAACAGCTAAAGTGCAAGCTTCCAATCCGTGACCATGAGCATGCAATCCTTCAGATCGAGCAAATAATATATCCCACGGATCTTCATTAGATTTTTCTTTTTCCGTCTCTTCTACATCTTGTCCCGTATCTTTAAAACAATACAATTTTTTTTTTTTTTTTTTTTTTTTTTTAATACATTAAAATGAGAAATTTATTTTTTTCTATTTTGATAGGCTTACCCCTAGGAGGAACGGGTTCTATCTGATTAGAAGTTTTAGCAAAATAATAAACGTTGTATTCATCACCGCTTTGCTGCGAATCAGAATTGCTAGTAACACTATCGTTTGATGCTCTTCTAGGTGAATCTCCTTCACTTTCGCATTCTCTTTGCTTGTTTCCCGAATTGTCACTATTTACATCGTTATTTACGTTACATAAAGGCATATTTAAAGTCTTATTACATTTGTTTTGTTGCGACTTGCAAGCATCGCTAGAGGCACCTTCTTCACTTTTTTTACACCGTCTTTCAAAATTAATCTCGTTGCCACCCCCGCCATTAGTAAACACACCCATATCACTATCTTCACTACTTTGTGATTCTTTCATGACAAAACTTCGAACTTTTTTGTAGCTTTCTACATTTACAGCTCGTACGTCGTTGTTACCATTTTTATTCTACAAAATTACATATTGTTAGTACGTAAGGATTTTAAAATATCAAAATTACTTAATAAAAAAATTTACTTGATGTGCTCCGTTATCACTAGAACTAGCCGAATCGCTACCACCACCTTCTTGGCTATCTGCATCATCTTGTTCATTGTTTGCTGTTTGTGAATGAGACGGTAAATCCGCATCGCCTTCATTTTCACAAAACCCTTCCGAACTTACACTTAAAATATAATATTTAATTAGAACATTGTTGAGAATCTACTAAAAATTTTTAAATTTAAATTTATTACAATTACCTGCTACGGTAGCCATTCCTTTCAGATTCAGGTTTTTGCTCTCTATTATGTATTCTAGATAATAAATCTAATTTCACTTTTCGTTTTCCGTATAAATGTGACTGATAATGAGAATGCGGATGACAATTTAATACAGCATGAGAGGAGTTTACCTATTTTTCAAAAATTTATGCATAGATTAAATAAGCAATTAAAATAAGGTACGAAAAAATTAATTCCAATTAATACCTGATTAATGTTTGCTTCGTTGTGCTTGAAACATGTAAAGGGACAATGATACAATTGATTACTACCGACAGTGTAAGTAATTCCAGGTATTGGATAGTCCACCCAATCCAATCTGCAGGCTTGAATAGCCGGCGTAAATCCAGGAAAAACATTTGTAGAATTATTACTGCTAATAATATTTCCTCGACATTTAACCACCTACAATTTTTTTTTTTTTTTTAATGTTTATATTTAACATTTTTTCAGGATTGAATCAGCAATAAAAGAAGACGTACCTTTTCAATGATTTTAGCATGCCATACAGTAAATTTTTTCTCAAGTAAAAGTCTCTCTTCCGGAGAAATACCAGGATTCAAAGCGGCAAGCCGCCACAGAACCACAATTTCATCGCATAGAGATGAACAAGCATGTTGACTTGCATGTGCGTTGCTATTACCTCCAAGGTGCTTTCCTCCTCCGCTGCAAGATGTGGTATACCACCAAACCAAAATCTTAAAATAAAATCAAAAAGGCCAAAATATTTTTTAAACTATAAAACTCGAGCAAAAAAAATTCAAAAAAAAATTATATTAACTTGTTCGCAGGCCATGCATTCTTCTGTGATGATTTCTAAAAGTGGAACCGCGTTTCTATCGTTTCTTTTGAACATTTCCATGACAATAGAAAGTAAATTCCACATTCCTTCAGGCTCCCTACCACGCAAAGGTCGTAATAGTGATGTCCATTCTGCAGCAGCCGGTGGAGCAGTTGTTGACAAGCAATTGACATCACTAAAATTTATAAAAAAATTTTACAATTTTAAATATTTTTTTTTTTAAAAATTATAACTTATAATAAAATATATTTACCTGAATACAATCGGTGCAGGAATACAAAATTTAATCAGAATTTTTTTAATGTTGTCATGAAGAGTTTTTTGGTCAAGATACCAAGAAGTTTGATCGGAAACAGAAGCTCCAGCAGTTGGATCAGGAGCTCCACAGACCTACACAATTCATTACAATTATTAAAAACAAAAAAATTTTTCTTCTTATTGATAATTAGAATAATGTTAAAAAAGTAATTTCCAAAGAGGAGCTAGAACAAAAAAAAAAAAAACGTCTTACAGAATTAATAGCAGAAGGTTGACTTGATAATAATTCATCTAACAATCTCTGAGCTGTTGGCAGAATTTGTTGAGGCAATTCACTAATTAAATACTGTGCAAATTTCTGTAATTGTTCGCGCTTGAGACGGGATAAGGATTCACTAACAGGGGCTCGAAGGCATACTTTATCAGGCTATTAAAAAAAAAAAAATCACAATTAAATTTTTATATAAAATTTTACAAAAGTTAAAATTCTTCTGTACCAAGTTTTTGTAAAACTTACAAAGTTAATTCTATATAAACATACAGCTACAACATGAGAACACCAATAGGCTGCCGAACTGCACGTGCAATTACACGATGTAATTCTTCGGCGATCGAAAGTCACAGCTACATTATATTGCTTTCGATTACTCGCAACGTAAGTTAGTGGTATAACTGAAGCACTGAGGTGAAAGCCTTAAATTAAAAATATTTATATTATTTCAAATATTTTTCCTTCTTTAATGAAAAATTTCAATAATTTTTTTATAGTCTGCATACAGTCTGAATATAACTTGGATATAATCAATCAATTCGAATAAGTTTCGAAACATTCGAAAAAAAAAAAACTTTGTTGTGTTTGATAAATCTTGTGTTAAAATCAGCTTACCAATTTGTAATGGATCTTGCACTGCATTTGTTCGAAACATACTTTCTCCTCTTTGAAATTCATCTGCACTTCCATTAGCTAAGCACGAATACAATCTTATGTCTTCCTCATTGTCTGGAAAACTCCAGAATGCTATTCGAAGTTGTAATTGCTCAGGTACTGGAGGGTAAACATATTCTACTAGTTCAAACGGAATGTGAGATGCAACACATTTAGCAGTTAATTCTGACAAACTTATTAGTTTTTGGTCATTAACTATTAAAAAAAAGAAAGAATTACATTGATTAATTTATGAATATTAATGCAGTGGATTTTTAATAAAAGTTCAATTATGTGGATTATAAAATAAAAATCATTGAATTTTTTTTTTTTTTTGGAATTTTTGTGTTAAAAAATAATTTTCTTTAATATATATTCATAAATTAAACTAACAATAACTCATATCAAAAAATTAAACATTACATTCCAGTTACTTGAGTAAATTGATATTAAGTTTATAATGCCTGGAATGAAGGTCATTGACTTGTGCAAAGATATTGTTTACCTTCTGTTATTCGCTTGTATGATGCATATACGTTTCCGAAATTGGTGGGTTTTTTCCATCCTCTCCAGTTGTTACACAATGATTCTGGCTCCGTACTCCAGCTGCAAAGTGAATCTTCTTCAAATCTGTCAGAATCTTCGAACGTAAACCTATCTTCCTCCCAAGGATCAATTCCTGTATTTCTGACTTTTCTCATGGACACATGTAATTCTTCTTCTACAGATTGAGGAGGTGTATTTCTGATGGGAACCTGGGGGCCATCCCTCACTTCGTATTGAGAAGCCATATTCAAAAATAGAGCTAAAAAACTCAAATGAAACCTTGACCTCAATGGCCGCCAGGATAAAACGAAAATGACCGATTTTTGACCTCAGAATAGAAACAACAATTACACGTAACGATAAGATTTTTAAAAAAAAAAACTTTTTAAAATTAATTATAAACGCATTTTTTACTAATTTAAAAAACTACCTTCATAAGTTTCTATACAAAATTAATAAAATACACCAAACACCTTAATGGCAACCAAATACAACAAAGCTTTGATCCAGCGCGAACAAAAACAATAATGGCGGAGATCTTAGCCTCTTTGTTCGCGATAAAGCGGAAATACAAGTTTTATGCACTTTTACTTAAACTTCAAAAAAATTCAATTTTTTCATTATCTTAAAGAAACACTTTCAAAATATATATTTAATATCGTAAATAACATTAAGTTTTTAAGTTAAAATTATTAAAATAGAAATAATTAATTTATTCATTTATAATTTACTCTTTCGTTACAAAAAAAAAATTAAAATTGTTTGTTTTAAAAATTATTTAATTCTATTATTAAAGATGCATCAATGATTATTAAAAATCTATTTTTAAAAATTTAATAATATTTTCTTAATTTAACCAATTACAAATTTTATTTTTTTATGAACTTATTATTTCATAGAAAACCGAGAGTTTAAAAAAATAAAATACAATTAAATATTTTTGAGATTATTAACAACTACAATGAAAATTTTAAAGTAAATCTCATTTTTATTTAATTCTTGTCTAGTTAAGGAATTATTAAAGTTTACATAATTTAAAATTAAGAAAATTAATAAAGACAAGACGAAATAACTCTTTAATGGAAAATATAATTTTATAAATCAAAGAATTGAATACATTATGCACTGGGTTAAAATAAATTTTTAATATTTCGTATTTTTTGAAATTCCGCCTTTTTTAAGCTCAAATCGATTGTAGCTTGTTACTCTATGGTTCTTACATCTATCAATTTTATTATAGTTTATTATTTAACGTGGATATAATTAGGTAAAATGCATTTAATATAAATATTTATTATTATAAATGCTGAGAAATTGATATTATAACTTATTTTTATTGTTTTTCACTTAAGTTTACATAATTCAGTGAAGGATGGAAAAGATTTCATTCGATTAAAATTTTGTGCAAGCTTAGGTTAGTTATATTATTATTATTATTATTATTTTAGGTAATAATGGTCGCTAAAAAGGGAAAACAGCAACAGGAACAAGCCCAAGTTTCACTAGGGCCTCAAGTTAGAGAAGGAGAAATTGTTTTCGGAGTGGCTCATATTTTTGCAAGTTTTAACGATACGTTTGTACATGTTACGGATTTATCTGGTAGAGAAACTATTGCTAGGGTTACGGGAGGTATGAAAGTTAAAGCTGATCGTGATGAAGCTTCTCCATATGCGGCTATGTTAGCAGCACAAGACGTAGCTGAAAAATGTAAATCATTGGGAATAACTGCCTTGCATATTAAATTAAGAGCAACTGGTGGAAACAAATCAAAAACTCCTGGACCAGGAGCTCAATCAGCTCTAAGAGCTTTGGCTCGTTCTTCAATGAAAATTGGAAGAATTGAAGATGTTACTCCAATTCCATCTGATTCTACCAGAAGAAAGGGTGGAAGAAGGGGTAGGCGTTTGTAAATCATTTTTCAATTGTCTTATTTATATTATTTCTATAATGAAAAATAAGTAAAAGAATTTTTTTTTTTTAATTGAAATAAAAAAAATAAGACATTTTAAATTTTGTTTTATATGTTTGTCACTTTTTTTTTTTTTTTTTTAATTATTTTTTCTTATTTTAAAATAAGAAACTACTTTCCTATTACTATCCTACTTTTTTTTCAATAGTTATTTTATTGACATTTCAAAGTACTTTAACTAAATGTGCTTTACAACTGATGTCAGCCAAAATTTCTTTTGGATGTTTCATAGATTTGTTATTAATAAATCAAAACTAAATTATAAAAGGACAACAAAGAAAATTGAATAATTATTCTGCACAATGGTGTTATGGCCGACAAAAATATTTTGTAAAGGTATATTATTTCATTTTTCCAATTCAATTCGAAAGATGGGTATAATTTTAAGTTTTAAAAAATTAATAAATTTGTATATAATTGTCATGATAAAATTTAATTAATTTTTTTTTTATTTGTTTTTTTGCAATATAACTGAAAATATTTATATTAGAGGAATGTCGATAATCTCAAAAAAAACTCAAATTTCACTCGAGGAAAATTATTTTTTTTTGTATGGAAGGATTTGAGACATGAAAAATAAAACAAGTATTTGAAATCTATTTAATTTAATTTTAATAAATAAAATAATTTAAACTTTTTTTAAAAAAAAAATAAACATCAAATGTTGTCACAATTTCCACTCTCAAGTTCGTATTTCAATCTGAAACCAATTTCTTGGAAATCATCTGGATCTTGTACATCATTATTAGCCAAATATCCATCTGTATGAACTCCAACATATAGAGGTTCAAGAGATTTTCCTAAAATGAACATAAATTTAATAAAAAAAAAAAAAAAAAAAAAAAAAAAAGAAAAATTACGAGGGATTAAATCCGTTAATGAGTATCACCTGTGACGGATGTACTTAAGGGATTGAAATCGGTATCGCAATAATAATCTTGAAATTCTTTATTCGCATTTATACCACCTGGAATTCTTATATAATCCTGTGACGTTAAACGATTGGCTGCTGCCTTTGGATGACATCTGTCTTCTATCGGGTTATTAGGACCTCTAAATGGATTAAAATTTAACTGAAAGGTATTTTCGTAAGTGTATCTGTATAAAAAAAAATTTTGTTTTGTTTTGCGTCCAATAACTAATTAAAATAATTCTTTCTTTTAAGTTTAAAATTAACACACAACTTACTTTACTGCACAAATTTCAGGTGTTTTACGAAAACATACTGCATAATCTAGTGGTCCTAAATAATTACCATTACCATTATCATAATTAAACGATTCAAATTGACCGGTTTTTTCTGGATAATATTGCAAACAGTTTGGTGGAGCTAAAAGAAAGAGAGAAACCAAAAGTTAGAAAATGGATTTATAAAAAAAAGTAAACTAAAAACTAAATTATTTTCTCTCCTTGAATAATATGTTTTTTTTTTTTTTTTAATGATAACTTTAAAATTTTATTTTTAAACGCTGAAATTACCATCATTATTATTATTATTAATGTTTGTCATTTCGTATAATTCTCATCGAGATTTTAAGAAAGAGAAGAAAATAAATAAATGAATAGTATACCGATTAAATCGTAATCCGATTTAGGACGTTTTTTATTTTTTAGATTCTGATATAAAGCCATAAGTTTACTCGGAGCATTGAGTTGATGTTGATAAACGTTTTTTTGACATTCCAACTGGCGAATTTTTATTCTCCATTTTGGTTCTTCTAAATTTTGATCAGAGGATCTAGTTTTTAACGTGAAACGTAATACCAATTTCCTTTGATCTTCGCTTACAGGTATGTAAACTAAAAAAATTTTCTATTATTAAAATCTTTTAGGTTTAATTAAACCCTTTGCAATATGGAAAAGTGGTAAAAAATGGCGACAAGTGTTAGAAGTAGTTAGAAATCGTTTGGAAAACAAAAATGCATTACTGTGTTGTCCTTTATTCTTTCCACAAAGTGCCGAAAACCCTAAATTTCTTCTAACTTCTTCGACTTTGAATTGATCCGTTTTACATTGATAAGAACTAAATGTATTTTGTTGATCATCAGCTATACGATTGCTCGTTGGTTTACCTATATCAAATTCTTCAAAATCCAATCTGATAAAATAATAATAATAATAATAAAAAAGAATTTTTTTTATACTTTCAATTGCTCTTCATTTCAATAACCGTTACAACAAAAAGTTTCATCATTTTAATATGTTATGGTTACCTGATCTGACAGACGTCTTTATTTAATATGTTTATTGTTAACGGACAATCATTTGTAAAAGTTTTCGGTGTGACAAAATATGATAGTTTCGATGTCGTATTATCCGAACAAGTTTTTTCAAACAAACAACAAACACCCAAAAGAGAACAGGAACCTCCTGGTTTTCCTCTATTTTTTACACAATCGATTTTGTTTGTACATTCTCCCTGTACGGTTGCTCCATTGATTGTTTCCTCGCAATTTGGGTCAAAAATACCATTCACAACTAATAAATAAATACAAATTTTTAAATTTAATAAAACTAATTTTAAAAAAAACTAATAAACTAACTTACGTCTGTCTTTTAACTTTCCGCCATTTTTAAACCAAATCGCATCGTCTCGCACGTTCGTTATACCAAATATTTCTGGTAAAATAATAAATAAAATTAATAATTTGATTATTTTTAACATATTGACTCGTGTCAAAAAAATTCTTTTTAAAAAATTTTTTTTTTATTCGTCTCTCTTTTATACCTTATTAAAAGAGTAGGGTAATAATGAAAGGCATGATGGAACTCCCTTCTGGGTATTTGTATACACTTCAAGAGGTTTTCGAAAAAAAAAAAAAAAAAAAAAAACTTTCCAAATGCATTTAAAAAAATTTTTTTTGTGAAACAAATTTGTGACAATCCTTAAACAAACAAACAAACAAACAAAAAACGTTATTCATATTTTTCATTAATAAATTAATATTTTGAAAAAATGTAACATAATGATAATTATTATTTTAAAAAACTTTATTAAAACAAATTAATGAGTTTTTATATATATATAAAACGGTTAAATAACGAATATAAAATTTTAAAAATTTAACTTTTTTATTTACATTAGTTAAAAGCTTTATTATTATTATTATTATTTGTAAATTTTTATTAAACCGTGAAATTTACATAACGGTATCATATTTAAATTCTCAACATTATGTTTTTATTAGGAAAAAGTTTTTTTTTTTTTTTTTAAAACATTTAACAATAGAAAAACTTTTTTATTTAATGTGTGTGTGTTTGATCGTGGCTTAAGTAATAAAAAAAAAAAAAAATTATTTAAATTAAAACCCCGTTTTTTTTTTTTTTTTTAAAAATATGTCAAGTTTGTTTAATTAATATTAATTGTACTTTATATATATGGTAGTTGACTTTTTAAAAAATAATAATTTAACGACGACGACGATACGTTATTAACAATTTATTTTTATATTCGAATTTTTAAATTATAACGTTTTTTTTTTTTAAAGCTTAATTTAAAAATTAAGGCGACATTTTTATCGAATAAAAATTAAATTAAATTAATTAAAATTTTTTTTAATCGAATCATTTTTGTTTTTTATTACACGCTGGAAATTATTATTATTATTATTTGAATTCATTTGTTTAAAAAAAAAAAGGTACCTGAAAAATTTATTACGGCGTTGGTAAAAAAACCTTAAGGAGAAAATTAAAAAAAAAAAAAATTTTTTTTTTTTTTTTTTTATAAGAAACAAAAACTTCCATATAGATTTAATTTAATATAAATACAGTGCTCGGTACGGGGCACAAGAACCCAGCTGAAATTGTAAATTAGGCAACGTCGAAATGCAGTATTGTCAGCCGCTGGAATTTCTTTGTTAAAACTTGATTCATATAATTTACTTTATAAATTTTTTTTTTTTTTTTTTTTCGAACAAAGTAATTATAATTACAATATTAATAATAATAATAATAATAGAAAATCGTCAAAAATAAGATTTTTTTTTTTTTGTTATCAATTTATTTAAGTGATAACGGGGTAATTTATATATATATATATATTATCGAACGAATTTTTTTCACATAGAATATTATTATTATTATTATTTTTTGTGTGTGTGTGTGTGTTTTATTAAACGGTATATGTGTGTATATATATATATATTTGAAATTGTGGCCCCGATTGCGCAATGTTTGTGTGCGTTTTTTTTTTCTTTTTTTTTTTTTTTAAACATTAAATAATGCATTTGTACTACCACCACCACAACTAATGAAAGTTTTAAACAATTTAGAGAAAAGAAAAAAGAAGAATTCAAAAATTATAATCGGTATAAAAAAAGAAAGGAAATAATAATAATAATAATAATTATAATAAAATTATTATTCGAATATAATTATAACTAAAGCGGTTTCGATTAGGTTTTTTTTTTTTTTTATTTAAAAAATTGTGTGTGTTTTTTTGTTTTTTTTTTTTTATTTTGTTTTATTTTGTTTTTTTTGTTTTATTTAGTAATGGAAGAATTAAAATGATTGGGTGGATCCGTCAAAACGTTAATTTTATTTCACGTTCGAACGATTTCGTTTTTATAAAAGACCTTGAAATCCTTCTGGATCAGCTGATGTAATTTTTTTTTTTTTTTTTTTCTATTCCCTTTTAAGAAAATAATTTTTTTTTTTTTTTTTTTTTTTGAATGAAATGTTATTTAAAATAATATTATTTCTTTTTTTTCAGTGAATTTTTAAAAAAAATTAAAATCGGGTTTAAAAAAAAAATTTTTAGTACAAAAGTGAAGGAAGGAGGAAGGAGGAAGGAAGGAAAGTCATACAAAGGCAAGCACATAAATTCTTTTTCTTTTTTTAATAAATAAATATTATTAAAAAAAAATAATAATAATTTTCAATGTTTTTATTTATTTATTTATAATTTTAATTAATGATTTGTTTAACAGGCCTGTTAATGGTTTTAAAAAAAAAAAAAAAAAAAAAAAAAAATTGCATATTAAACAGGCTTAGAAATTTTTTTTTTTTTTTTTTTTTTTTTTCTATTGTTAATTAAAAATGGTTAAACATTTATGATTTTTTTTTTTAGTTAAAATGATGACTCACAAAAGATAAATTTTTTTCTTTCTTTCTTTCTTTCTTTTACATTTTAACTCTTTCATTTTTCATTTTTTTTTTTTTTAAAAAAGTATTATTATTTTATGTTTTCGTTTGTGTTATTAGTAAAAAAAAATTATCGGTTCGGTTATTGTTAATAAGTTGTAAGTGATTACAAAAAATTATTATTATTATTAATAACATGTTTTGATATTTTAACATTAACAACATTTATTTATGACCTCAATAATAATAATATGTTTATAGTCTTATCAATTTAATTAATTAATTATATTTATTTTTGTAAGTAATTAATTTTTCATTGTTTTTTTATTCGATCGAATTGAAGTATTAACATGATATTCATTCGGAATTTGATTACAAAATGTAATTTTATTATTTATTTTGATTATTTTATTAATTTAATTGTTATCATTATCATATAAACCTGTTTTTTAAGGTTTATTCATTATTTTGTTTCACATTGAAAAGGTTTTGTGGGAGTAATTTTTATTTATTCGAATGAAATCCGTTATGACAATTTTCAAAAAATTTATTAGTAGACACATAATTGAAAAATAATTTTAAATTTATTATTAATTGTTTTTCTGTTTGTTCATTTAACATACAAAACAAAAAACTTATCAAATTTAAACTGTTTGTTGTTGTTGTTGTTGTTTTGATTGTTTGTTATTGACAAACGATTAAAAAGACTTGTATATAATTTAATATTCGATGATAAAATCGAGTAATTAAACAAATTTTTTTTTATTTTTATTGCTTTTAAACAAAAGGTTGTCTTAAAATGATACAAATGTTATCACTTATCACATAATTAATAGGTCTTTGTTTTAATTATATCACCTTAACAACTATTAGTATTAAATGAGATTTGTTTTATAAAAAATAATTTTCCACTCTGTTAATTTTAAATTTATTTATTATCGATAAAAATGATTAGGATTGTTATAAAACTGGAAAACTACAATTGTATTTATTTATTTATTTATTAATTTATTAAATATTGTTTTAGGGGGAGTAAGAAAATAAAATAAAAGTTCTTCAATCTTTTTGGTTTTCTCAGTATGAACCAAACACGATCCATCGTCGAATATCAGAATAATTCAAATTCGACGTACAATCACGATGTTCATCACCACAGAGAAGAAACATTCGATATGGAACTCATAAAAAGATTTTGCACTCCTCTTTGTACGAGAGATATGGCGGTGAGAGAAGTGGCATTGAACGTTATTGAAAAAACGGTTGAAGGTTGGCTCGAAGGTTACGGGAGTCCGAAAAAAGATATATGCTGTCAAGACCCGTGCGAACCTTTTTACGAAGTCGAAACGGACGAAAGCGGTGACATTGTCGTTAAAGAAACAAAACCAAACGATTATCTATCCCTTGTTACTCTTCATTTGCCTGCCATATTAAGGCTAAGCGTTAATTGTCCTTTCGATGACGTCAGAGATAAATTCCTTAAAATATTACAAAATATAAAGGTAAGCAAAAACCTTACGACACGCAACCTTTTAAATGAAAAAAAAAATAATAATAATAAAAATAAAATGACGAGGAAAACCGATGGGACATTTAATTTTTTTAAAATTTAAAAGAAGAAAAAAACGTTACACGGGGGGGGGGGCTGGGGGGAAGGGGAAAGTTAAAATCAAAACAAACAAATCAGTAGTAATTTACGACATTTGTTAAAAAAGATTTCTTTTTTTTTTTTTTTTTTTAATGGATCCTTTTAAAAATTCATTGACGAGAATAAAAAAAAAAATTTTTTTAAAGTTTCTATTTATAAAACGTTATTTATTTAACGTTACATTATTTTGGATTTCTCTCTCTCTCTCTCTCTCTCTCTCTCTTTCTTATTTTGTTATTTTCTAAAAAAATGTTTTTTTGTTTTGTTTTAGGAAAAGGGACTTTCGGTTCCCCATCAGTGTGACAACGGACCAAGTTATTTTATACCGGTAAATTTTTTAATTTTTTTTTTTTTTTTTTAAATAAAGAACAAGACGTTATTTATAAAAAAATGCGGTCACAAAACTATTTATTATTATTATTATTATTATTATTATTATTATTATTATTATTATTATTATTATTAAGTTAAAGTGAGTAATATTTTTCTTATCGGGTATTACTCACGATCGAAACAATTACAACTACAACAATCAGGTAGTTTTTCTTCACACAAGGTTGATAAGGGAAAAATGTTTTTAATTTTTTTTTTTTTTTTTTTTTTTGCTGTTTGATATTTTCGTAACGAAAAATTTAAATTTTAAACTCGGCGTTATTATCATTATTATCATTACTACCACTAACTACTATTAATAATAATAATAATATTTTTATTTTTTTTTTCTCATTTCAGTTGCCTGCTTTGGGATCATTTAGTGCTGAGGTAAGTTCTTTAATTTTTTTTTAATTTCATCGCGAAAAAAATTCCTTTTAAATAATAATAATAATAATAATAATAATAATAGTTTTGTTGTTTGAATTGTTATTGAGAAATTTTATTTGAATAATCGTAATCGATCGAAAAATGTGTGAATGAGAAACGATTTAAAAAAAAAAAAAAAAAACGATTTCCTCGTTATGCAAAAATAAAAATTTAAATTTTTTATGTAAATAAGTTGTCGGACGGGGGAGGGGGAGGGGAGGAGGGAGGGAGGGAGGGGAACTTTTTCCAAATGCTGAATCGTTTCCTTAACATTTTTTTTTTTTTATCGACGATAA